GGCGACGTCTGCAAAGAGTCGTAAATTCTGACAGACAAGCAACACTGCGTCAAATAACCGCAGAAATCAATGTGGGACGTACAAGGGACTTGTCTGTTAGAACTGTGCGAAGAAATTTGGCTTTCTTGGGCTATTCCAGCAGAAGACCGACTCGAGTGCCTTTTACTGACAAAAACGACATCACTTGCAGCGACTCTCGTGGGCACGTGAGCATATCGGTTGGTCCCTAGATGAATGGAAAACCGTGGCCTGGTCCGACGAGTCACGATTTCAGCTGGTAAGAGCTGATGGTAGGGTTCGAGTGTGGCGCAGACCCCACGAAGCCATGGACCCAAACTGTCAGCAAGGCACTGTTCAAGCTGGTGGTGGCACCGTAATGGTGTGGGCTGTTTTTTCATGGCATGGACTTGGTCCTCTGGTGCGACTGACCGAACATTGACAGGAAATGCTTATGTTCAGCTACTTGAGATCACTTGCAGCCATTCATGGACTTCATGTACCCAAATAACGATGGGATTTTTATGGATGACAATGCGCCATGTCACCGGGCCACAACTATTCGCGATTGGTTTGAAGAATATTCTGGACAATTCCAACGAATGATCTGGCCACCTAGATCGCCCACATGAATCCCATCGAGCATTTATGGGACATCATCGAGAGGTCTGTTCGTGCCCAAAATCCTGCACCATCAACGCTTTCACAATTATGGACGTCTATCGAGACAGCATGGCTCAATATTCCTGCAGAAGACTTCCAACGACTTGTTGAGTCCATGCCACGTCGAGTTGCTGCACTTCGTCGGGCGAAAGGAGGGCCGACACGATATTAAGAGGTATCCCATGACTTTGTCACTTCAGTGTATATTTTTATATATATAATATGACTTATTTTCAATAAAATTGTGTAGGTATTTTTTAAAAAAAAATAGTTAGGTCGTATATAGAAATGATGAATGATTTGAATAAGAAAAGAACCTGAAATTTATATAATGTTATTTTTTATTTTTTTTGCTAATAAACTTCGTATTTGAAAGATATTCTTTGACATGATTTTAACAGTCCAGTAAATGAATGCCCGATATTAATACTACGTATAAGAATAATTATAGCAAATATATATATAGAAAAAGTAAATTTACTTATACATAAATATTCACAAGACCATTTTTTAAGGTTAAAAATTAAGAGGTATATTTAAAAAAAGTTTGATTTGGATTCACAACTATAAGAATGAAGATGTTAATTTAATTTCAATAAAGAAATACAAGCTCAGTTTTGAAAAAAAAAAAAATGTATTACAAAGATATAATCCCAGTTTTGGTGAAAAAATGTACTAATAAAATAGTAGTATTATTTCCTGTTTACCACAAAGTTTTGAATAATATGAAATTGCTTAATTTTGCCATGTGTTTCGTAGTAAAAGAGAACACTATCTCAATGCTTGAATAAAATGATAAGCCATTTTCAAAAATAGTTATAATATAATCTTCAACAAACACTTAATAAAATTTTAATAATTAAAAATATTCATGTGAATAATTATATTCAATAAGTAAATCAAACAAAGAATTTGATAACTTAAAATGATAAGAACACATTAAGTTTGCATTTTTAACAGAGAGGCTTAATTAACGAAATCTACTCCGAACCCAATGAAATAAATACGTTAATGTTTTTAAAATCACAATGGCTTCTCTTATCACAAAGCGCTGTTCCGCTACTTAAACCTGTGTCAATATAGACCGCTTATGCTCACGAACTTCACAGAAAACCGTTTTATGATTTCATTTCACAAGGCGGTGAACCATGCACTAGACATAAAAAAAAGCGAGTAATGGAGAAAACATGAGGGAAGAAAGGAGTGTCTCTAACGGACCGCAAACACTGGCGCAACTGACGCGTCTAATTCGTTAAAAGCATCTGCCTTTCCTTTCACTGTCCAATTGGAAGTCTGCTTTTCGCCGACTGTTTTCAGAACCTAACCGGTAGAAGGTAAAGTACATTTGATATCCTATCCGTATTCATCAACAAAATTCTGGGGATTTTGAGAGGGGAAAAAAGTGCCTTTACCCCTCTTTTTATTTTTGATCGTATCATTGGTCGTTTTTACCAATCGTATTGGTTTTCAAAGAAATGTTAACTTAAAAAGAAATGTAGACGTATAGAACAAATCTTGCTGAATAATAATTTAAAGAAACTCGTTCTTTATGTAGATGGTGTATTGTTTAAGATCCTGAAAATGATATTTTCAATTTATATGTTTTGGTTTTTCCACTATGATTTAAATAATGGTATGGTTTGTATTTTTTATATAATATGACTTATTTTCACTAAAATTGCATAGGTATAAAAAAAAAAATTTAGTTGGCTGATATATAAAAAGCATGGATGATTTGATTAAGAAAAAGTTTTAAATTTATATAAAGTTATAATTTTTTTTTTTTTTTCTAATAAACTTCGTATGTGAAAAGGCATTTTTTGATATGATTTAATAGTCCAGGAAAAAAATGCACAATATTAATACTGCATATATGAATTATTATAACAATTATACATAAAAAAATTAAATTTACTTATACATAAAAATATACATAAGAACATTTTTAATGTTAAAAATTAAGATGTACATTTAAAAGTATAATTGTTTAATTTTGATTAAAAATTTTCAGAATGAAGAATTTAATTTCAATAAAGAAATACAACCCCAGTTCTAGGGAAAAATATTTACTAATGAAATAGTCGTATTATTTCGTGTTAACCACAAAGCTTTGAATAATATGAATTTCTTAATGTTTCCATAGTAAAAAGAGAACACTATCTCAATGCTTGAATAAAAATAATACACCACTTTCAAAAACAATTATAATATCATCTTCAACAAACACTTAATAAAAATTTACTAATTAAAAAATATCCACGTGAATAATTACATTCAATACGTAAACCAAACAAAAGAGTTTAATGGCTTAAAATGGTAAGAAAGCTTTTAAGTTTAATACCAAAAGAGGTTTAATTAACGAAATCTATTCCCAAATACAATGAAATAAATACGGTAATGTTTTAAAATCCCAATGGCCTCTCTTATCACAAAGCGCTCTTCCGCTACTTAAACATGCTTAAACTACTTAAACCCGCTACTTAGACCGCTTATGCTCACGGACTTTACAAAAACCGTTTTATGATTTCATTTCACAAAGCGTTGAACCATGCACTAGCAATAAAAAACGAGTAATAGACAAAATATGGGGAGAGACGGGGGATAAAAGGAGTGTCACTAACGGACCGCAAACACTGGTGCAACTGACGCGTCTAATTCGATAAAAGCAGCTGCCTTTCCTTTCCTATCCAATTGGGAGTCTGCTTTTCGCCCACTATTTTCAGAACCTAGCCGGTAGAAGGTAAAGTACATTTGATATCCGATCCGTAATCATCTCCGAAATTCTGGGGATTTTGGGTTGAAAAAGTGCTTTTTTTCCTTTGTATTTCTGGTCGTATCATTGTTCGTTTTTTACAATGATATTGGTTTTCAAAAAAAAAATTTAAAAAATGTTAACTTAAAAGAAATGTAGACGTATAAAAATATCGTTGGAATAATAATTTAAAGAAACTTGTTCTTTTTGTAGATGGGGAACAGTGTTTTGTTTAAGATTTTGGAAATAGAGATTTTCAATTTATATGTTTGGTTTTCCACTATGATTTAAGTTTTGTTTGCTATGTATTTTTTATATAAAAATATGATTTATTTTCAAAAAAATTGTGAAGGTATACATAAAAAAAAAGTAGTTGGGTAGTATATAAAAATCATGGCTTGTTTGATTAAGAAAACAATTATAAAATTACATAAAAGCCGAGTTTTGAAAAAAAAAAGGATTAATAAGATATAATGACAGTTTGGGGGTCAAAAATGTACTAATAAAATTGTCATATAATTTCGTGTTTACCACAAAGCTTTAAGTAATATGAAATTGTTTAATTTTGCCATATTTTACATAGTAAAAGAGAACACTATCTAAATGCTTGAATAAAATAATACACCACTTTCAAAAACAATTATAATATCATCTTCAACAAACACTTAATAAAATTTACTAATTAAAAAATATCCACGCGAATTATTACATTCAATACTTAAAGCAAACAAAGAGTTTAATGACTTAAACTGGTAAGAAAACTTCAAGTATGTTTTATTACCAAAGAGGTTTAATTAACGTAATCTACACCCGAACCTAATGAAATAAATACGCTAATGTTTTAAAATCCCAATGGCTTCTTTTATCACAAAGCGCTCTTCCGCTACTTAAACCTGTGTCAATACAGAGTGCTTATGCTCACGAACTTTACAGAAAACCGTTTTATGATTTCATTTCAAAAGGCGTTGAACCATGCACTAGAAATAAAAAGCGAGTAATGGAGAAAAATGGGGGGGGAGAAAGGAGTGTCACTAACGGACCGCAAACACTGGCGAAACTGACGTCTAAGTCTAATTCGCTAAAAGCATCTGCCTTTCCTTTCCCTATCCAATTGGGAGCCTGATTTCCGCCGATTATTTTCAGAACCTAACCGGTAGAAGGTAAAGTACATTTGATATCCTATCCGTAATCATCAACAAAATTATGGGGATTTTGTGAGGGAAAAAGTGTCTGTTTTCCCATTTGTATTTCAAATTTTTTCCCCATTGGTCGTTTTTCTAATGGTATTGAAGCGTTTTCGTAGTTGTTGATGTTGGCTAATCCTCAGTGTCCTGCAGTGCAGGACGGGCATCTCATGAGTGATCTATTCATGGATGGAAGGAAAGGGACAGCTTCTGTTGTGATGGAGCACCCGTATGTAGGAGCGTGACTTTTGCTCCGTGACGCCCTTTACAGTCATATGAGACCGAGATCTACGGCTTAAAGTGGATTCCGAACCACTACACACACATCCATGGCACGCCGGGACTCGAACCCGAAACCTGTGGTACCGAGCAACCAAGCGGTAGCCACTCGATCATTCATGTCCGTTTTCGTAGTGTAATGATTATCACGTGTGCTTCATATGCGCAGGTTCCCCAATTCGAACCCGGGCGGAAACAGATGAATTTATTTTAAAATACATTATTATTTTCCAGGACATAATATTTAAAATGTCAGTGTGTACTTTTGAAATTCTTTTATTTTTAATTTTAATTTTTATTTTGCATTTTACTTTTATATATTTTTTTTGTAATTTTAAATTTTGTGTACTATATATTTAATTTTGAAACATTATCTTGTAATTTATTGTTTACTAACCTAATGCAGCCAAATATAATTGTTAACTTTAGCTACGAATTAAGATGATAAGTTTATTCCTATTGGTACTCCGTAATCGGTACGTAAGTTGCCAATGGTATCGATTTCCACTTTCAAAAACAGTTATACTATATTCTTCAACAAACACTGCAACAAACAATTGAATAATTGAATCACATGAAGAATTATATTCAATACCTAAAGCAAACAAAGAGTTTAATGACTTAAAATGGTAAGAAAACTTTAAGTGTGTTTTTATTACCAGAGAGGTTTAATTAATGAAATCTACCCGGAACCCAATGAAATAAATACGCTAATGCTTTAAAATCACAATGGTTTCTCTTATCACAAAGCACTCTTCCGCTACATAAACCTGTGTCAATATAGACCGCTTATGCTTACTAACTTCACAGAAAAACCGTTTTATGATTACATTTCGCAAGGCGTTGAACCAGGCACTAGAAATAAAAAGCGAGTAATGGGGAAAATATGAGGGAAGAAAGGAGTGTCACTAACGGACCGCAAACATTGGCGCAACTGACGCGTCTAATTCGCTAAAAGCATCTGCCTTTCCTTTCCCTATCCAATTGGGGAGCCTGCTTTTCGCCGACTATTTTCAGGACCTAACCGGTAGATGGTAAAGTACATTTGATATCCTATCCGTAATCATCTTCGAAATTCTGGGATTTTGAGAGGGAAAAAAAGTGCTTTTTCTCCCTTTTGTATTTCTGGTCACATCATTGGTCTTTTTTTCCAATGGTATTGGTTTCCAAAAAAAATTTCATCTTAAAAAGAAATGTAGACGTATACAACAAATCTCACTCGAATAATAATTTAAAGAATCTCGTTCTTTATGTAGATGGTGTATTGTTTTAGATCGCAGGAAATGAAGATTTTCAATTTATGTGTTTTGGTTTTCCACTATGATTTAAGTTATGGTTTGCTGTGTATTTTTTTTTATATATATAATATGATGTATTTTCAATAAAATTGTGTTGGTAAAAAAAAAAATAGTTGGATAGTATATAAAAATCATGGATGATTTTATTAAGAAAAAGTATTTCAAATTTATATAATGTTATTAATTTATTAATTTATTATTATTTTTATTTTGCTAGAAACTTCTTATTTCAAAGACATTTTTTATGATTTAACAGCGCATGAAGAAATGCACGTTAATAATACTACATATATGAATAAGATAACAATATACATAGAAAAAGTAAATTTACTCATACATAAAATATTTATAAGAACATTTTTAAAGTTAAAAATTACGAGGTATATTTAAAAAAAGTTTGATTTTGATTAACGACTTTCAGAAGGAAAAGTTAATTCATTTCAATGAAGAAATACAAGCCGAGTTTAAAAAAAATGGATTAATAAGATACAATGACAGTTTGGCAATGACAATGACAATGACAGGCAAAAATTTACGAATAAAATAATCGTTATTGTGTTTAACAAAGCTTTGAATAATATGAAATTGCTTAATTTTGCTATATTTTCATAGTAAAAGAAAACACAATCTCAATGCTTGAATAAAGTGATATGACATTTTCAAAAACAATGATAACATATTCTTCAACGAACACTTAATAAAATTGTACTAATTGACAAATATTTCACGTGAATAATTACATTCAATACGTAAAGCAAACAAAGAGTTTAATGGCTTAAAATGGTAAGAAAAACTTGAAGTTTATCTTATTACCATCTACTCCCAAACTCAATGAAATAAATACGCTAATATTTTAAAATCACAATGGCTTCTCTTATCACAAAGCGCTCTTCCGCTACTTAAACCTGTGTCAATATATACGACTTATGCTTACGAACTTCACTGAAAACCGTTTTATGATTTCATTTCACAAGGCGTTGAACCATGCACTAGAAATAAAAAGCGAGTAATGAAGAAAATATGGGGAGAGTATGGGGATGAAAGGAGTGTCAGTAACGGGACCCGCAAACACTGTCGCAACTGACGCGTCTAATTCGCTAAAAAGCATCTGCCTTTCTTTTCCCTATCCGATTGGGAGCCTGCTTTTCGTCGACTATTTTCAGAACCTAACCGGTAGAATATAAAGTACATTTGATATTCAATCTGTAATCATCTTCGAAATTCTGGGGATTTTGAAAGGGAAAAAGTTCACCGTTTTTTTCCCTCTTTGTATTTCTTGTCGTATCATTGGTCGTTTTTACCAATGGTATTGGTTTCAAAAAAATTTTAACTTAAAAAGAAATATGGACGTATGGAACAAATCGCGCTCGAATAGTAATTTAAAGAAACTCGTTCTTTAGTAGATGGAGAATGGTGTATTGTTTAAGACCTTGGAAATTGAGATTTTCAATTTATATGCTTCGGTTTTGCACTATGATTTAAGTTATGGTTTGCTATGTATTTTTTATATATATATAATGTGACTTATTTTCAATAAAATGGTGTTGGTGTATATAAAAAAAAATAGTTGTGTAGTATATAAAAATCATGGATGTTTTGATTAAGAAATGAATTTTAAATTTATATATTCTTTTGAGGCAACAAATTTAATATTATAGGTCGCAAATTTGATATTTTATTTAAATATAAAGTTCACTTGAATAAAGTGTAGTAAAATGCAACAATTGATGTGTTTAAGCATTCTTTATGATATCAAAACAATATTAAATTATTTATTCATTATAATATAATTCCACTGAGTTATTAATAAATTTATGCCATTGATAGGGTAATTCATATTTCATAAAAACGCTGTAGTATCGTATTTGTATTGTTTATAAATGACGATTAGATATAAAGTTAACTTTTATAAAATATAGTAAAATATACAACAATGATTACCTTAAACCATTTGTTACAATATCATAATAATATTAAATAATTATTAAATATAATTTTATTGAGTTATTAATAAGTTTATGCCACATATAGGGTAATTCATATTTCATTTATGCCATGGATATTCCAGCATATGTCACGGAAACTCTAGTCACATTCGTTGTAGTCTTACTTATTTGCATCATTTATTGATGAAGATTAGATATAAAATTAAATTTTATGAAGTATAGTAAAAAATGAAAATGATGTCCTTAAGCCATTCGTTATGATATCAAAACAATATTAAATTAACTATTCAATATAATATAAATCCATTGAATTATTAATAACTATATACCATGGATAGGGTAATTCATATTTCATAGAAACTCTAGTCATCTTCTGTAGTCTATTTGCATTGTTTATTGATGAAGAAGTATAGTGCTGATGCAGCGATTCCTTACACGGCACAAATTCCATAAAGGAAATCCATTGAAACATATTTCCCCAAATCTTCTGAGTACGTGCAGTAAAACATCCTACTCCTGGGTTCCCGAAATCCTTTCCAGATTGGTTACGCAGCACATCTGAATGACTTTCCTTCCGAGATGAATCGCATTGCCTTGTGACTCCCTGTATCAACATCTTCAAGGTCCCCAAGGACTCTAAATGGAGATAGTTGGGATGATCATAACAGAAATGGAAGACTTTTGCGCACGTCCTTCGATAGAAATGGATAAGAAAATGGTGTATAGAGCAAGATGCATTTGTTTTACTTTTGCGCAGGGAAGTTTATTAAAGCATATATGATAACATAGGTGACCAGAGATTTTTTTTTGCACTTATAAAGATTTATTAATAAATAAATAATTACAAATATTTATGCATCCATTTAAGTCGTTAAAGAAAGGCACAAATTACGGTTCAGTTTTTTATCTTGTATCCAAGTGGTCAATATACGGCTATAGTTCAAGTTCGAATTCATTGGAATGTGTGTTATAGTCTCTCATTTTAGAAATGAGAAGATTCGATGGAGTTTTTACAGTGTGTGCAAAGCTTTTGAATTCATTGTCAAACTTCTTGGTTAGAGCTTTCAGCGGTTTTCTCCTATACGATACGTAAATGTGGACAATTAATCTAAAATTTCTTTAGTAAATGAAATGCCCTCCCTTATCTCTCGTTAGTGGGCCATACGTGGCGAGCATAAGTAAAACAATAATATAAAAGGCGCAGCTAAAACGCAGATTTTGTTTGATTTGTCTCTACAGTAATTTTTTGCTCACTTTAGGCTAATTAGACAGACTACTGTTTACTACTGTTAGACAGATAACTATTGCTTAAAGACTACTGTTAGACAGATAACTACTGTTAGACAGATAACTATTGCTTAAAGACTACTGTTAGACAGATAACTATTGTTTAAAGACTACTGTTAGACAGATAACTACTGTTTATTCCGAACCACTAACAATCATCCATGCCACCGCCAGGATTCGAACCTGTAGCCTGTGTACCAAAGGCAAGAGATCTAGCCAATTGACATTAAATTCGTACCAGAAAGCAGGAGATTTAGATTCATATCCTCTGTTAGCACTCATTACAATCACTGCTTTCTTCTGCTGAAATATGGAGATCTATAGCGATTGTGACAAATAGTGTTAAGCATCTCACATTAATTGTCATTATACCTGGCTGAAAATTTCGATTTTTTTTCCCATATAATTCACAAAAGTAAACTCTTAAAAGCCTTTTCGAAAGACAATGTCTTTTCTTATCATTTTACAATTGGCCTGTTAGTACTATAGCTAAATATGGCCCATAAAATCCACCGTTGTTTACTAAAAAAAAAGAATGTGTTCTTTTTTCTTTGACGATGCAACTAGTGTTCGACACGGATGGAACTTTTTTGTTTTGTGCGAAAAACTGCGCGAAAAAAATTGTTTACTGGTTTTGCATTGTTTAAATATAATTGTGCCTGTTGTG